CTTGACTTTAATTCACACTAAAACAAACAAACAAAACCAATAGCTTAGATTAAGCAATGTATTGACCACTTACATTTGTTATTATATTTTTGCTAATCTATCTATAAATTCTCAAATAAACTATTATAAAATAACCAGTCCTGAGGAGCCCTGGTGGCACAATGGTTATGAAGCCTTGGCTGCTAACTGTAAGGTCAGTGGTTTGAGCCCACCAGCCACTCAGCAAGAGAAAAGACCTGGTGATCTGCTCCCATAAAGATTTCAGCCTAGAAAATTCAATGGGGCAGTTCTACTGTCGTACAAGGTCACTGTGAGTCAGAATCAACTTGACAGCATACAACAACACTGATGCTGGACAAGATAAGACAGATTTTTTATTCTGAAATCTCTGAGAAAGATGCAAGAAAATAAAATTACATTAAAAGGGACTCATTGCCCCCCCCAAAAAAAATAAATTAAAAAAAAACACCAACTTGCAGAATTCAGCAAAAACTATCAGAAATTTTCAAGTCTTAAGTTTCTGAAACACCTGTGGAGAATAAAGCTCTGAATAATATGATAAAGATGTTCCAAGGCACTGTCCTAAACTAACTAAAAAAACATTAACTTATTATCAAAATCCTAACATTTAAATTCCAAAAGCCAAAAGAAAGAAAACCGTTTATAAGGGTTGAGGAACAGTATAGAATTCAATTAAAAAAAAAAAAAATGCTGTTAACCAGAAACTGTACTTTCACCAAGTAATCCTAGTTAATCAAAGTTTTATTATATAATTCACATATATGATAGAAATTCATGATAATTTTAAAAATTATTTCCTAGACAAATGCTTAGAAGCCCATTCCACAGTTTTCTATTGACCAGGACCAGTTGTGTATATAGCTCCTGAAATAATCAAATATTGCCAAGATCATAAAACACTCTCCTTTAATAGAGTGTGGCAGGAGGCTAAGGTCTTGTGACACACACACAAGTATGCACTGTGGCAGGGGAACATCCTCCTGTAAATCATATTAATTTCCAGTAATTTCTTTTGCTGATTCAAGAAAGAGACCAAATACCAGCAGTTGAAATCTAACTCAGGAAGATCCTGAGACCACTCATTCAGGGTAACAATCCTCTTGAGCTGGGCTCCTGGTAACCATGGGGACCAGCGGGGGATCCCATATTACCTATTTATCTTAGGCCTCAAGATATCCATATTCTAGCCCTACCATGACATCAAGCAATTATTCACTGAGATGAGGAGTTAGAGGAGTTAACCAGTAATACAATCAAACCTTATTTCTAAATATTTTTCAAAAACTGCATGTTTCTGCCAAATACCTGCACAAGTTGAGGTGTGGTCTGTTTTTTTTTTTTTTTTTAAGATTTATTTTGGCTGTGAATTCACTAAACTTCTCTCAAACTATTCTTTCTGTGTAGGATGGGAGATGCTTTGGTCATTCTTCTGCCACAATTGCTAAGCAAAATGGTGCTCTCTCCCTTATCTTTCCTCTACAGGTATCCAAAGACAGTCCCTGGATTTCACTTAGATGAAATACTCTTATCATATTTCTATTAGATACACTTGGTTCTTTCTTTCTTTATTTATAACACTGTATAGAGAAAATGTCTTCTGTTTTGCAACAACTGTCACAAAATTTCAAACACACATACAACTATTCATAATTTGAAAACTGCCATATCATGACATTCTTAACTTCCAGGATAACTTTTCTTAAAACATAGCAAATAAAAAGCAACAAAAATTAAATATCACCTATTCTTCTACCACTGGTAAGTAGTCCTGGCAATGACCATATCTTATATGCAGTAGCAACAGTGAAGACCCCAAAACATCACCCTCACCCAGTGTTTTTTTTTTTCCACACACACACACAAAACAAACTCACTGCCATTGAGTCGATTCCTACTCATTGTGATCCCTCCTCAGGTTTCTGAGGCAGTATCTCTGTGGAAGTATATTGCCCAAGTGGCTGGTGGGTTTGAACCATCAGCCTTCTGGTTAGCTGTCAAATGAATGCACTAACCAAAAAAAAACAAAAACAAACTCACTGCCATCGAGTCAATTCAACTCATAGCAACCACTCCTGGGACTTCCGAGGTGATACCTCTACAGTAGATTGCCCAATCTTCCTTCAGAGGAGTAGCTGGTAGGTTTGAACCACAAGCCTTCTGATTAGCAGTCAAATGCCTTAAGCACTACACCACCAGAGCTCCCAAGAGCATCTTTGATTCCTTCAATAAAATGCATCACTGCTGACAGCCTAAATCCTAAAGCCATTAATACCTCTTTTTAAAAAGACTTGTTCATCGAGAAATGGCAACATGAACTTTAAAACTGCGTAAGACAAAGATGCCAAGTATTAAGACTTTGTTGTTGTTGTTGTTGTTGTTATTTGCCGTTGAGTCGGCCCCGACTCATAGCGACCCCTCCTTGTGTTTCCGAGGCAGTATCACTACGGAAGTAGGATTGCCCAACCTTCCTTCCGAGGAGTGGCTGGTGGGTTTGAACCGCCAGCCTTCTGGTTAGCAGTCAAGTGCCTTAGGCACTACGCTACCAGAGCTCCTATTAAGACTTTGGACGGAGCAAATACAGGCAGTCCTCAGGTAAGGAATGAATATCCAACTTAAGGACAACTCAGCCTTGCTCTTTAATGCATGTGAATTCATCTTTACTTTGAAACAATGGAACCAACTCCTATTCCTGACAAATTCTTCATCAAGTCATCTTCACTTGCTGTAGGTGCAGCTTTTAAATAATTGAAAAGGCTTCAAAGCCTTTTTCCAGCACTTAAAGAAGAAAAAAAAAAACCCACTGCCATCAACTCAATTCCAACTTATAGTGACCGTACAGAACAGAGTAGAACTACCCCATAGGGTTTCCAAGGCTGTAAATATGGAAGCACACTGCCTCACCTTTCTCCCATCAGTGGCTGGTGAGTTCAAACTGCTGACATTCTGGTTAGCAGTAGAATGCTTTAACCACTCAGCTCCTCCCTGCACTAAAATAAGGCTAAATAAGAACTGTAAGCACCTCTTTGGATTTACCTATAAATTCAACTTAAAGATTTACTTAAAGGTACACTTGGGAACATATCTTGTTCACAACCTGGGGAAAGCTTAAAGTCACTTTGTAAATACCAGTAAGCTGATGGAAAGATTGACAGGATCTGGAACTGACCATCAGTGAATCTGTTATAATTCAGCATGTAAGAGAGGAAAAGGCTAAAGACAGACACATGTGAAGTGGTTTGGCCATTACGATTTGAAACTCCACTTAATTCAGAGTTTCTATCAATAGTTTGATTCAATATGGTTGACCAATAGAAGATCCATTATGTGGCCCCCATCTCTACAGATACATTAAGGACCAATCACTTATACCTGCAACTTATACAAATACTTTTAATTCTTGCTCATATAAACTGCATCTTCCCTACACAAAAACAGCATCCTCAATCATGTTTGTCCCCCCTCCACTTTTCCTCTTCATGAAAACTATCTGGGTATACATTACCCTAGTTCACAAGAGGCATCAAATCCTAGGTAATAGCCACAAATAAATAGCTTTAAGAGATGAACAAGTCCTATGGTAGTCTAGAAACACATGTGTGCAGTTATAGTACTGGGGCCTTGGCAAGCTCTCTGCTAATAAGGAGAGTTGGAGAGCAGGGAACACATAATGAACTATTAAATGCAAATAACGTCAATGTAGAATCCTTCCCCAGGGTTCACCACCAAGAAGGGAGGGCACAAAGTAGAGACAACATTAAGAGGGCAGAGGTACTGCCCTGGCTTTTACTATTCTGCTCTTAGTAACAATTCTTAAGGGTTCTCTAAGCTTCCTTTGCTACATATTTCTGTGTCTGCTAAATCAGGACATGATTCACTAGGTTTAGAAAGTCTGCCATGCACGCCAAGTCCAGGGACAGAATCCAATTGAATTTGGCTAAACTGGATCTAAAACCTCAACAAGCAAAAACTAGGAGAACTCTGCCACCTTTTTTATTATTATTATTATTAATGTGTCTGTAGTTGTGGTTGCCCAACCTTCCTTCTGAAGAGTGGCTGGTGGGTTTGAACTGTCAGCCTTCTGATTAGCAGTCAAATGCCTTAGCCACCAAAGCTCCCACATAGTTGTGGTTATAGAAATATCTGATTCTAATTTTAACCAACACCTAATACTGTTTCAGCACATTCCTCTGGATAAAGGAAACTATGACTTTCCAGTCAGTGACTACAATGATGCACACATGAACTTGGAGAATTAAGCTTCCAGTTTTCAGTCACTCCAAGGTGTTAGTTTGGCTTTTTTAAAAGTTAATGGAGAAATGTTGAATCTATATGGAATTTTTATGACTATAGCAATAGCCAGTACATTTATATTTAATAACCTGTATATCTGATGGTGTAGTGCCTAAGGCATTTGACTGCTAACCAGAAGGTTGGCAGTTCAAACCCACCAGCCACTCCACAGAAGGAAGACTGGGCAATCTACTTCTGTAAAGATTTACCATCTCAGAAACCCAAAGGGGGGGGGGTCGCTGTGAGTCGGAATCGACTCAATGGCAGTGAGTTGTTTTTATTATTAATTAATTAATTAATTAATTAATTAATTAATAAAACTGATACACAAAAAATCTGCATTCTGGGGAGGATAGGTAGAATTTTTTTTTCTTAAGTAGAATAAAAGAGATTCCTTCAGTGGGCTTGCAACCACAGAGAGATAAGCCTTTGATTCATAAGGACTCCATTGAGAGAATTCATAAAAGGACGCCTAGGGAAAGATAGTTGATTTTTTTTGTCCTTAATAATTCACCACAAATATTGGTTTACTTGATATTTTATGATGTCATAAAAGGGTTTCAACTGGGACAACAGTTAGAGTAGAAGTTACAGCAGTAGTAATTGGTAGTTAGCAGCAGCAGCAGCAGCCAACATTGATAGAATGTCAGGACCTGTGTTAAAGGCTTGAAACATCTCATTTAATCCTCACATGGGTGGTTCAGTGGTAGAATTCTCGCCTGCCACGCGGGAGGCCTGGGTTCAATTCCCAGCCCAATTCCTGGCCCATGCAACCCACTTGTTGGAGCTCTGGTAGCATAGTGGCTAAAGCACTTGACTGCTAACCAGAAGGCTGGCGGTTCAAACCCACCAGCCACTCCTCGGAAGGAAGGTTGGGCAATCCTACTTCCGTAGTGATACTGCCTCGGAAACCCAAGGAGGGGTCGCTATGAGTCGGGGCCAACTCGATGGCACATAACAACAACAACAACAACAGTACCCTATGAGGGAGCTCTGATAGCACAGTGCCTAAGGCACTTGACTGGTAATCAGAAGGCTGGAGGTTCAAACCCACCAGCCACTCCTCAAAAGGAAGATGGGGCAATCTACTTCCATAGTGATACTGCCTCGGAAACCCAAGGAGGGGTCGCTGTGAGTCGAGTCTAACTCGAGGGCACATAACAACAACAACAGTACCCTATGAGGGAGCTCTGGTGGCACAGTGCCTAGGACATTTGACTGCTAACCAGAAGATTGTCGGTTTAAATCCACTTGCCACTCCATGGAAGGAAGCCTGGGCAATCTACTTCTGTAAAGATTTACTGTCTCAGAAACCCAATGGGGGTCACTATGAGTCTGAATCGACTCGATGGCAGTGGATTTTGTTTTGTTTTTTGGTAGTACCCTATGAGTTGGAGCCCTGGTGGGACAACAGTTAAGCCCCTGGTTGATAACTGAAAGCTGATCAGTTCAAACCTATCAGCTGCTCCTCTAGAGAGCAGACCTGCCAATCTGTTTATGAAACACTACTGGGCAGTCCTACTCCGTCTTACAGTCACTAGGAATCAGAATAGAGTGGACAGCACATAGCACCACCATCACTTCTTTATGCAATAGGTAATAATAATTATCCCCATTTTGTACATGAAGACAATAGGATTTAGAGAAGTTGTTACTGGGGAGGAAAAAAAAAAAAAAAACAACCCTGCCCAAGTTACTCAGCTCTTCAGTGGAAAAGCCAGGATTCAAATTCAAGAAGTCTGACTCCTGAACCTATACTCTTAATCATACTGCCTCACACTCAAAGCCAGTCTTAAGAAAATGATCACAAATTTCCCCACCTGCTAGAAGATCCTTGGAGAAGAACAAGAGTTAGTCAACAAGACTCAATGTGTCACAGCATCACCAATGCAGAAGTATGAATCCTACTAGTTGGTATAGCAAACGTGATGCTTCAGGATGAATGGAAAGGAAATCACGTACACGCAGTTAGGACATTTCCAAAATCTGTATTTAGTAAATGGGGGAAGAAAGAAAACCTCATCCTCTTCTGAAAAACAGATTTATAGGGTAGAAGAAAATACACAATTCCAGTTCTGTGGATTTAAGTATTTTTAAGAAAACATTTTTTGAAAAAGCATATATGCTCAAGCTTTGTATTTCTTCCCTTTAAAGCTTAGTATTCATTTAGGTATTTGAAACTTTTCTAGCTACCTGTCATGGACTATTTACATAGGCATCTGTCAGAGAAAGGTAAGAGTGCTGACTCTTGGGTCCCAAACAAGGCTCTACTGTACTACATACAACTGAGGTCACTTGAGCAAATCCACTGGGATCATCTCTATGGCAGTTCAAGGTTGAGCACAATTTAAATCAAAGTTCTATAAAGTTAGCTAAGCATTGTGACTTAAAAGGCAACTCCAAGAATTATCTAAATGGCTGAATGGAATTATAAAGGAAGGCAGTTATCCCCTAGCAAGCATTAAGGCTTTATTGATGCAGCTAATATTCCCTCATCAGTCTACGAAGAAGATCCAAAATGAGTACACTGAAAATAGAAACTAAATGAAGCTGCTTCAACATGATAGCAATTTCCTAGAAGATCTGACATTTTCACTTTCTTTGGAAGAATCCTAAATGCAAAACAAAAATGTAACTGCAACTATTTAGTTAAGATGACAGTTTGCAGGAAAGCTGTATTTATATCAGTGATTGTCAACTGACCCACAAGTTAGAATCACCTGAAGAACTTTAAATAATACTAGTGCCTGGGCTCTGCCCCAAGATAATTAAATCAATCTCTGGGGGTGAACTTGGGTATCTTTTTTTTTTTTTTAAAGTTCCCCATCTGGATCTCACGTGAAACTAGGGTAGCAAAGCCCTAAAGCAGCCAATTTTTTGCTTGCTGGCTGCTGAAAGTGCTGTATCACTCAAAGGCATGATCAAGTTAATCCTTTAAAAAGGATTAACTTTTCAAAGGAGTTGTTATGTGCCAGTCAGACTCAACTCATAGCGACCCCTCCTTGGGTTTCCAAGGCAGTATCACTACGGAAGTAGATTGCCCCATCTTCCTTCCAAGGAGTGGCTGGTGGGTTTGAACCGCCAGCCTTCTGGTTAGCAGTCAAATGCCTTAGGCACTATGCTACCAGAACTCCCTTTGAAAGGAGGCGGGAGGTTAAAATTTAGTCAATCAAATGTATTTTAGGGAGACACAGCACAAACCAGATTATTTGAAATAAATGATCTACTTTGGGAACTCTAAATCTCGTGTAAACTGAGTATCAGTATAGCAGTAGATGTATGTAGACATAAACAGAAATATTTTAAGTCAAATTCTTCTACCAAGAAGAAATGCTGGGGGGAAAAATACATCTGACCCTTTGGTTCAGGCAGTGTTTACTTTTCTTTAACCCCAAACTTAACACACTGCCACTGAGTCAATTCTGACTCATAGTAACCCTATAGGACAGAGTAAAACTGCCTCATAGGGCTTCCAAGACTGTAAATCTTTATGGAAGCAGACTGCCTCATTGTTCTCCCTCAGAGCAGCTGGTGGGTTGGAACCACCAACCTTTTGATTACCAGCCAAATACTTTAACCACTGCACCACCACACCTCCATTAATTTTCTTTAGAAAGTCATAAAAGACAGTACATGCAATAAATGTATTTAAACACACAGAGGCAGACTATGCACAAATACATACATATGCTTAAAATCAGCACAAATATGGGAGGTATTTGTGTATATATGCATATGTCTTACAAAATTCAATTAATGTGTATAGAGAGACTCTGAAACTATGCCTAACACAAAGGCCAAAATTTTGTTCCTATTTACAGTACTCAAGAAATGAGTCATCTACGAGGAAAACACCAGGCTTCTATTCATAGGCTCTTTGGAGGTCTCACTGGAAAAATGAACAGTGCACGCAAGGCTGACTTTTTTTTTTTTTTTTTTTTTTACCACATACATCTGGTTTTCATGTATGCTGTATTCTTGAAAAGGCCTACTATCAAGAATCCTATTTACTGCATAGACCACTTAACCCTTAGTGGATGGTCATTCCCCCAACAGCATTCTTGATATAAAAATCTAAGCAAGCTGCCTTGGTGTAACTTCTTATTCTGCTAATTCAGACCCAAAGAAAATAAATAATAGGATCATTAGAATGGTGAGTTGTAGTAGTCAGATTATATCTGTTAGGCCAAGAGTAGTCGTGGTTTGATGCTTCCTAAAGATTTGCAGCCAACTTGCCTGGGTCAGGCTCAGATCTGCTACACCTGGGAGCAAGGCTGACAAGGCAACAGCTACCTGGGGCATACCTGTCTCATGACAGCCACAGGAGCACAACAGCCTAATCACTTTCAAGGTATTACATCTAAGGTATCAGGTCCATTTATATGTCGGTGGCCAGATTACCGGCCAAACCCAACATGAGTAGAAAATACACTCTCATGCAATGCAGGTTACATGGCAGAGGAAACTAAGGTATGAAACAGATATCTAATCTACCACATCTATAAATCCATTAACCTGACTGTTCTACCAAAAAATCCAATGAATAAGGAAGACCAAAGAAGAATTCATGCATTTGAATTGTGGTGTTGGCAAAGAATAATGAATGTACCATGGACAACTAGAAGATTGAACAAATCTGTCTTGGAAGAAATATAGCCAGAATGCTCCTTAGAAATGTGAATGACCAGACTTCACCTCACATACTTTGGTCATGTTGTCAGAAGGGACCAGCCCCTGGAGAAGGTTATCATCTTGCTTATGTTTTATCCTCTTTGCAAATAATGATTTTAAACAATGTTGATAATTTAAATTTAAAACATCAAAATTAGAGGATTAAAGTAATATTAACCCCATCACACAGTCTTTAAAAATGCCATATTAAAAACATCCTTAAATGGAAATGAAGATAATAAGTTCTAGAACTGAAGAGAAGCCAAAAAATGGTTCCAGTGATAAGTTGATGTTGGGGCACACGTAAAGTGTTTAAATAAAATACTTTTTATTATTTAAGGAAAACAGAGTGAGAAATATTAGATATTTTCTAAATTGTTGTGTTTATATATTATTTCGTAAAGGTGACTAATCTACTTCCGTAGCGATACTGCCTCAGAAACCCAAGGAAGGGTCGCTATGAGTCGGGTGTGACTCGACGGCACATAACAACAACAATGGTAAGTTCACTTTCTATTATTTCATATCTATTCCAAAAAGTTTATATATTTCAAACTTTTAAAGGCTCTTCTCCTTGGAAAAATAGGATATTGGCTTATTTGGAGGTTGCTTAGTATTTAGGCACATACAGTAGTTTTCAAGATATTGCTTTGACATTCACTGGGCCTCAAATTTTAATCTTTTTGTTCTACTTTTACATGGTCCATTTAAACCTTTCAACAGAACTCATTTTTGTCTTCATGATTCTATTTTCAGTCAATATAAGGCAGTGAACCTTCCTAAAACTCAGCTCATATGCTACATAATTCTTTTTACATAATGAACATTTGTTCAAACCACTTAATGTTAAACAAGTAATTTTCAAATAGCGAATTAGTTCTTACCATACTAAAAACAAAAATGCATACCATAATACTTGGTGTGATTCTGTTATTATGTTTTGCCTACTTATAATCATAACTGAAAAGCATTACAATTTGGATTTTCCAAACAATGAAAGCTAAGTCCCCAAGGTTCTCTTAAGGAGCCCAAGAAAACAGAATAGTTTTGTTTTTAACTGTTTTATATATTGCACTTCTGTGTAAGTTT